CAACGGCCGCAAGGGCCTCCTTGTCCATAATAATGGCTATAATTCCGCTCAGCTTTGGACAAGGTGCGAGAGTAAAACGCAATCGGGGCTTCGGAGCTATCGGGGTAGGAGTGGCTGAGGACGGCCCCCACATCGAAGGGGGAGGCGTCACAGACCAGGAGGAGTGGGAGGTGCTCATCATACCGGACGAGGACAGGGGCAGAAGTTAAAAGAGTTTTGACAGCCACGAGTGCATATGCCTCGCAGTCTGTCCAGTTCCAAGGGGCAGAGGCATTGAGGAGGCGATGCAGGGGCTCCGCAACGGATGCCTTGTGAGGTATAAAGGAGGAATAGAAATTGAGGAGCCCCAGGAATGCCTGAAGCTCTGCCTTCGAGGAAGGAGTGGGGGCGGGGGCAATGGCCTCAATTTTGGAAGGGGTGGGGTGGATTCCTCTGGAATCCATGAGAAATCCAAGGAACTCCACAGATGGCATGCCCAGTTGGCACTTGGAGCGCTTCAAGTGCGAGCCGGCATCACGGAATCGGGAGACCACTGCCCTAAGGGTTTTGACGGAGCAGCAATCAGAACATCGTCAAAATAGGGCACAACCCCCGAGGTGCCATGGAGCACCCGCTCCATGAGCCCCTGGAAAATGCCAGGAGCCACGCTGACCCCAAATTGCAGCCGGCGGCATTTGAAAGCCCCGCGGTGGGTCACTATGGTTTGGGCAGTGGCGGAGGCCTCGTCCACCGGCAATTGCTGGTAGGCTTGGGCCAGGTCCAATTTTGTGAAAATCTTGCCCTGGCACAAGGAGTGCAGAACGTGCTGCATGACAGACATGGGATAGGGGTGCGCCTGAAGGGCCTTGTTGAGGGTTGCCTTGTAATCAGCGCAGACCCTCAGGGACCCATCAGCCTTTAAAGGCAGCATGATGGGGGTCTCCCAGGGGGCGTGGTCGATGGGTTCCAGGATGCCCTGGGAGATCAGTTTATCAATCTCCGTGTCCACATGAGCCCGCAGGGCAAAAGGAACCCGTCGCGCGTTCAGGCGGATGGGCACCACCATAGGGTCCAAATTAAGCGAGATGGGGTTGCCTTTGTAGCACCCCAGAGTGTCAGAGAAGACGTCATTGAACTCTGACAGGAAGGAATCTAAGGAAGAGGCAAAGCGGAGAGAGTTAATGCCGGCTATGCTGAGGCCAAAAAGCCCTGAACCAGTCAAGCCCCAGGAGGGAAGCCAGGGGGCTTTGGACCACTACAAGGGGCAGGGAACCTTGGAATTTACCAAATCTGACAGGGAAATGCCCACAACCCAGGATGGGGATCGGGTAGCCCTGATAATCTCGAAGGAGGCAGTCAGCAGGGGACAGCTGGCTAGGAGTGAGGGTTGGTATTAATGCCCTCAGGGTGTCCCAAGACATAATTGTGCGGGCGGAGCCCATGTCCAATTCCATCTGGCAGGGGCGGCCGGCGAGTAAGATGCGAAGGTGCATCTTACCCCGGCCGCCATGGGAGGAGGCAGTGGAGTCGGGCTGCCAGTCGGGCAGAGGAGGCTCAGGATCGGAGACTGCGTAGCACCCCAGGCGGGTGGCAGACGACCCTGGAGGCTGGCGTCTGAAGGCGGCAGGCGGAGCAGTTGCAGCAGGAGGCGGGGGCCTTGGGTTGCGAGCGTCCCCCGGAGCGGAGCAGCAAACGTTGGTGATGTGGCCCTTCTTACCGCACTTGTGGCAGAGGGCCGTTCTGAAGCGGCAGAATGCCCTAGAATGGCAGCCACACAGCTGAGGCATACGCTGCCATCTCTAGAGGGCAGAGACCTGAAGCGGTCAACGGAGGAGGCAGCATCAGCATAGGGATCGTTGACCATCATCTGGCAATGGACAGCCAAGTGAGGCAAAACAGGCATTGCAGACGGAGGGAATCGCCGGACATCAGGGGTGGACTGGCCGGCCATCTCGTAAGCGCGGGCTTTGTCCACCGCAATTTTCATTGACAGTTCGGCGCGGGACAAGATGCGGCGGTGAAGATTTATATCGAGGAGCTCGTAAATAAACTGTTCTAGGAGAGCATCCTCGAGATCAGCGAACTTGCAATTAAATGTGGCAGCCCTCAGCTCAGCCACGTACTGGCTTATTGATTGTCCCTCACGTTGGATGCAGTGCCGCTGTATCTTGAGCCTAGCCATGAGGAGGTCAAGCGGCATAGTGTGCACCGGGATCAGTGCAGAGAGAGCCCTGGCGGTGGCAAACATTTCTGGGCCACAATAATGTAAGAAGGTGCCCTGTCTTCTCCCCTCAGGGAGCTTGGAGAGGTCATGAGCTTGAAGAAAAACCTTGAACCTCTCAAGAAATGCGTCCCAGGATTCAGCCTCTGGCCGGAAAGCAGCAAAAACTGATGAAGGAGCCAAGACAGGGATGATAACGGGGTCCGTGTCGCTCATCCTCATCGCCAGTTTTAAATACGAGGTGTGAGGTAAAATAGAACAGGCTTTATTAACAGGCAACAATTATAACGGAGTTAAGAACACGGACAAAGCGAAACCTACCTGACAGCTATTTATATTTGACAGCTGTCAGGCGGTTGGCCAATCGGCGGCCAGTATTTCTCCCGCCGGCCGGCAGGTGCGCCTGAGCCAATCAGGCGCCTGAGGCTCTGCCTCGCCTGCCGGCTGCGTCGAAAGAACACAACAACAACCAGTTCTCCCAGGATCAGGTTGGCTGTCATGGGAGGTGTGGCCCATCCCAGCATCACTATATATGTGGGACGAGCCTTCCACAATGGCCAACACGACCCTGGGTGAAGCGGTTGTTAAATTATTTGAATCCAACCACTGCATCAGTTTCAATAAGTTGAAATGAGACAAGCATACACCACATCTCATTGAAGAACAGCTAAAGATCTGATGTAGTTTTGAACAATGCAGCAAAGCAGATGGTGGTGTGTTTTTTCTTAAATACTCACTTTCCACCATGCTGAATTTCTAGGAAATTTAATAGCTAACCCCAGTATTCCTGGAGAGTAAGGGGGAAAATGCTTTTAGAGTATCCTTTCCATCTTCATTGTCTTGCTGAATTTATTAGCATTGATCATACAAAACTAGTATTATTTCACAAATTCAGGGGAACTTTTGAGGTGCATCCTTATTTGAAGGAAGCTTATGTGCCTTGATGATCCTTGGTACCCCAATATAGTTGATACCCCTATATAATAGTCATTGTTGCTAGGATTTGTGACCATAAAGTAAAACTGAAGCATGGTTATGCCAAATAGTAATAACATTTTTTGTAAGGCTTTATGAATTAAGCTTTAACTCGTCCCGAAGGCTGACTCAATTGCCACAAAGTATTTAGAACCTGAAAATAATATTAAAAGTGGTGTGTGTGTGTGTGTGTGTGTACATATCTCAGAGCATTTTAGACATAACATGAGCCATGTTTTTCTCCAATCACACATTGAATGGTCATATTGAATAGAAGGAGGAGGGAAAGATGCACCAATCCCTCAGCCCATTCAGAGAATTTGCAAAAGTTTAAAGAATGCAGAGATATAAAAGACATCCATAGGACCCCTTGCAACCTGTAGGTCCAATCATGCATGTCTGTGCTGGGGATTTAAATATACAAATACAAAATAGCTAAAAATATATGTACTAGGACTTACCAAGGCTGTCATGATTATATTATATTACCTTCAATATGAGAGCGGAGAGCAACTTATCTATCTGGTTCAGTAGCAATAAGCATCGGATAAAAATATACTGTAGTTTATTAGCACAACAATTTCTGTCTGCTATACATTTTAAAGCATTTAAAATTATATAAATCATTGGAAAAGAATAAGCATTTCTCTCAGAACTCTCAGCCTGCTATCATATTTTTTTCTCTCTTAGAAAATTTGAAATTTAACAAATCATGACAAGAGCACTGATAATGTCTGCAAATTAGAAAACTTGGCTTAAATTGCCATACTCCTTTAGCATAGTTCAAATATGATAAAAGTACTTGAGCCTGATTCATATTTTAGTTCATTCAAAATGATGTGAACTAAGCACACATTGATTTGGGAAAAGCTCAACTACAATAGTCTCAAAAATGCTTATTCCAACACTAAAATTGTAGCCTCGTGTACTTCCAGGGGGTAATATGCTCTGGTGAAAATGTGCTATCTTCTCACATCCTCTGTGTTCTTCTTGAACTTAAGATGATCAGATATAGTTTATCTTGGTATCACCATTACAGAGCAGTTCAGCAGTTAGCCAAATATTTCAGGCTTTCTTTGTTGCGGAGTCCCTTTCAAATGCCATGTCTTTAGAACCACATCAAGCCAGCTTAATGTTAATTTTAGAAGTGCTAACAAAACCTATTTATTTGAGGGACCATTTGAGTCTGAAATTAATTTAGCATCTGTATCTCTTGCCTAGATATTGAAAGCTTAATATTTTTTTTAAATTTTCACTATAGTTAGACAAACAACAGCCACATAGCTAGAGCTGCTTCCAGGGTTCATAAAATTAGTAACACAAGCATAGATAATAATAAAATAAATTACATTGATTTCATTTTGAAAGAGTTAACTATGTGCGTGAAATTAATTGGACTCAAAATACATGATAGCAATCTGCCCCATGTCATTTCCTTAGCCAAAATGTTTGAAATATAAAGCAAACAGCAAACAATAGTCAAAACTTAAGGCATATTATAGTGATAAGTTTACTTATATTTTATGGTACAATTGTTAAGGTCAAATCTTGCTTATGCAAATTATAAGCAACTTTTTAAAAAGCAACTAAGCTTTTGAAACAATATTATGTAAGGTCTGTCTAGGGCAAAAATGGATGCTTGCATCGTTAAATGATTTAGTGATTTATTAATAATTTCAATAAAATTATATGTGTTGCTAGCACATAAATGTGTGCCAGGTTGCATGATGACAGATTTATATATTTGAGGGGGTTTTTCCTCCTCCAAAGAAGTAAATCCCATTTTCCCTTCATCCCACCCCAAATATGGTATGGAGATTCTGACCTTATTTCTTCTTTAAAGAATTTCTTGCAAATGGATGTTCCAATGCAGGCATTGCACTTATCAAGTCCCAGAAAGGTCCGACCAAAAGTATAGCTGGATTTGACTCGGGGCCCTGAAGAGGGGGAAACTGTTGATTCTAAGAACAGATTGCAATTCACAGTGAAACTCAGAAGAGAGAGCAGGAATTTGGAGACAAGGTGATACATCTCTAGCATCTCTTATGTCTACCTAAGTTCTAATATTCTCAGTTTTAACTGAACGGCATTTACAAAAGAAGAGAATTTGATCCAAGAGACTGGAATGTTTTTCTCTTACCAACTAGTTGGTAGCTTTAGTAGAAGGAGTATGAATTAGGGTGGGCACAAGGAAATACATGAGGATGCAGATAACATTTGTTGCTATAGTTACCTTTCCTCTTCTAGGAGCAGCTGCTGACCCACCCATCACAAAACACAGCATGCAAAAAAAGTTTCACTCATCATAATGTTCATGGAGACAAATAAAGGATATCCTGTTGAAGGAACAGAAGTCATTCAAAGTGAAAACCCCAAGGCATGGCTTCAAATATAGGCCACGTTTATAGCCAAGACATGTACAGTAATGAAAAATTGCACTTCAGTTTTGCCCTACTTTGTAAAATCAGTGTTATAACTCAGGTCCATTTCACTGGTATTTGTGTTTGCAACAATGTAATCTCAGAAAGCCTTTCTGTATACTTGTGAGTCTGTGTGATTTAATAGATAAATTTTCCCATAGTGCTGAAAGGAGGTGGTTTATTCTAAAAAACAAGGCTTCCTCATTTCTTTCATTCTTGTTCCAGGATACAAATACTGGAAGCAGTGAAGAAAAACTATTGGGGGGAAAACTTGATTACATAAGAAATAAAAAAGAAACATGTTTAAATAGAATTTCAAGGGGGAAAACTGAGTTATGGATACTTGCTATTTAATTCTTCAGGCTGAACCATTAATTGATAATCATAATTAAAATGAAAGCAAATGTCAGTGACTCTGAAACAACATATACAAAGCTGAATGGCTTGAAAACACAAACTTGTGTCAAGTTCTTTTCAGTTAGATAATTATCCAATTAAATGTGATAATTGCTTAAAGAAGTGAAGTAGGTTGTTATTTGATGGAAGTCTGGTTTGTGGATTGGTCAATCATTAACTAATAGAGAAATTTATTAAATGAACTTTGAAAATAATTTTTCAGTAAGGTTTCCTTTTATTTCCCTGGAGAGAAAAAATACTCTTTTTTTCTGGTCTCATTTCTCATTAAGTAAAACAAACAGCAAGAAAGTGAAAACAAAAAGGGGAAAGAATAAATATACATACATAAAATAAACTTTATACTAAAATAAAAGTTGAAATGAAACTAAGATTATAATTTAAGAAAAAGATTAAAGTAAAAAAAGGCGAAACATTTTAAGGAAAAAAATCTAGTAGGCCCCTTCTTTTCTTTTCCTTTTTCCCCTAATTTCTAATTTATACCAAAGTACAAATATTTTGTAATATACTTTGATCATCTACAATTATTGCTATTTGTTAACCTGCATTTTTCAATTTGTTCGCTAAACAGTTTTTATTTTTCTACAAAAACCATATTCTAAATATTTGGTTGCAACAACTTTTCACAGCCAATTCACCACAGCGAACTCACTGTGGCCAATTCCGCACGGTCAACTCACTGCAGCCAACTTGTCATGGGCAACTCACCATGGGACAATTCACCATGCGACAAGAGTTACACTAATATGAAAGAAATGGTGGAATAGAATCATTAAAGAAAGGATGCAAAAGGAGGGACAAAATAAAATGTGAATGACAAAAATTAAAATAATTTTTAAACCATTTTAAATAATTAAATTGAATTGTTGAATTGTCCTGTGGTGAAGTGTCCCATGGAGAGTTGGCCATGGTGAATTGGCCACAGAAAGCTGTCCCANTCTCATGTAATTTAGAAACTTAAAAATGGGAGGTGAAAGGGCCTCATAAGTGGAATAGCCTAGGGCCTCTTTTCATCTAAATCCGGCCCTGCATAGCACCTTCAACTACTGCATCAAACTGTCACTGCATCTTCTTTAAAAGGTGTGGAGTTCTCAATTTTCAAAATTGTCCACGCATGCAACCAAGGTTACGGCTTTCAGCAGATTTCTCCCAATCTTACATTAAGTCTCATGAAAAGACTTTTGTTCCTTCACCTCAATAGGAAATAAAGACACACAATTACCATCGAAGTCTGGTAGTTATGTTGAAAAAATGAACCATAGCGTCAGTCTTCCTAACTACCCACAGGGATGGAGAAAGAGATCCAAATCACTCTGCAAGAAATTGCAAGCTTTATGATACCTGAAGTATAATAATAATGTAATACACACCCCAAGGATCTCCACCCTACAGCTTTCCTGTGAGAAAGGCGGCACGCAATTTGCCAATTGACTGAAGATGACAACAGCCTGGCCAACAAGTGACACTTTGTAAACCTTTGCTAAGAAACCACAATTGATCTGACCACAGGTGGCCTTTTGTGAGTAATGGGCCCCTGTCCAGATCCATCAGATCATCTCTTCCTTGTGATCATTTCCCTTTCATCAAGTAGTGGTTTTGGCAAGAGAAATAAAGGCCTTTCTCCATGATTCCTAAGAAGACAAGGAAAACAAGCCATCAATTAGTACCCAGGTCAGGATACTCTAGTTTCTATCTAATCCTGTAGGAGAAATCCCACAATTGTGGCTGCATATACTACACAACGGAAGCCCAGGTTTTATTAGAAACTTTTTCCTTCAAGGAACTTCAAAGGTACACTTTGAAGCAATTGCACAACAGGGCACCAAAATTACAAGGCAACATTATACTCATTTAAATATATCATAGTCAGAATTATATTCTCTTTCATTGCCTGTCTAGGACGGCATCCTGGGGAGGACAAAAAACGGGGAGGGTTGCGCACATAGAATTATGGGTGTGGGCATGCCCGCACCAGGGGTGGGTTTCAACCGGTTCGTGGCAGTCCCTGCGAACCGGTTGGTCGGCGAACTCGGAAGTAAGTAACTTCCAGGAACGGCGAAGGGCCCACACGCCCGCCCTCCTTACCGGTCTTTGAAGGCTTCTGCGCTTCCACGCAGGCGCATGGCACATCCAGCGCCTGCGCGATTCTCCGCGAGCAGCTGGATGGCACATNGGAAGTTACTTACTTTCGGGTTCGCCGACCAACCGGTTCGCGGGGACCGCCGCGAACCGCCTGAAACCCACCCCTGCCAATTCACTATTTTGGGCTGCAATTGACTCCTGCAACCCTCTGCCAACAAAAACAGAGCTCGGGATCTGGCCCACGGGCCTTGAGTTTGACACCTCTGTTCTAGAAGAAATATGATCAGATAGAATGCCAGTTGTGTAAAGAAGCAGGTTTGTTGACCTTCTTTCTAATACTTCTGGCAATTTTTATTTGATTAAGTCGAAAAGTAAGACATTCTCAAAACTTTAGGCAACATGGGAGAACAGTGGAAGGGACTCAAGTTGCAAGAAATCTTCATTTATTCATGTATCAGTGTAACAAAAACCCAAGGTGTATTGAAGCAGAATCTGCTTGCTCTTTCAAGGCTTGCTTTTCAAGATAGGATCCTTTTAAGCACTTATAACTGAATGTCATCTTATAGTAGCTGCCCAATAAGGAGGACATTGTGCGAAGACAAAAGCATAGCACTAGTGCTCAATTAACTAGGAGCTAGTGTAGTGCATTGGTTAAAGGAAGGTTGAAATATACCCTCAATCATACAAGAACCTTGGGTAGACTTATCAGACATCCGTCAAAAAGAAGATATTTATTTCTTTTTGTCCCTAAGTCTTCCACCTATATCAAGCGTGAAAGACCAGGTCCAACTTGAAGGTCCAATTAATCTGATTTATTGTTAAATAGTCTACACTATATACAGGAATCTTCTCAACTAATGGATAGCATCTGCCTGGAGTCAGATAAAGATTCACTGGATTCAAGGGGCAGTGGTGGTGGAATTAATCCACTTGTAGCTATGTAGGGATTCTAGGCTCATCCCTCTTTTAACTCTGTCCCCAGATTCTGCTACTCCTTCTACAATCTAGCTAATGTAACCTTGAAATCAAATATTGACTGGTTTTTCAGACTATTTAACACTTTTTAAAAGGCTGGAAATCATATATGACCTTGCTGAAAGGGGGGAGGGGGGTGGAATGATCTGTTGATTTCAGGATAAAAATTTGGAGACTTTTGGCTTGTTCTGACCCCACCTTCTCTGTCCAGGAATGAAAGCCAAAAGCCACGTAACTAAAAAGGTTTCTTTTAATCAGTCCAAGCTCTTGTTGGCTGCAAGCCCAAATAAACNAAGCTTTATCTAGAATATGTTATAAAGATGTATTGTGATTTGATGATCTTAGGATGATTTAATAGAATGTTATCATATAATCCTAGTCTAGATTTTGAATATTATATATGAAAGGATGTAAAAACAATTATAGTCAAATTAAGGTTGAGATATAATAATTGTGATATATATGAATATAGGTGAATTTAAAATATGTGATTTGATATGAAAAGTAGGTGGTGACTATGGAAGAGATGCATAGAAATACTGTAATCAACTGTCACACTTTCTACAATTTGTAATGGAAGATGGTTTTTTTTTATTTTTATGTTTGTTTGTCCTTGTTCAAAAACAAATAAAAATTGTTTTTAAAAAATCTTTGTTGCAGAAATGTATTTTTTCATTTTATAATGTGCGCATGCACAGATCTTTTTAGGTTCAAATGCACACGCCAAAAAATTTTCATGCATAACCAGCAGTAATGCCAGCAGCAACCCACTCCTGTATATGTACCTATTTTAGTCTTGAGAGTCATACCAGCACCGAAGTAAAATAACATTTGATTAAAATTTATTTTAGAATTAATACAATCATACCTTTGCTGTCAGTAATGCTCCCCCATCAAATAACTTGCAGTGATTATATGTTCCAAGTACTGAAGAGGGGAGTTACTGAGTGCAATTTGGCATGTTGCATTACTCAGAACCAGAACATAAAACCACTCAAAGAAGTAGTGCATGATCACTTTGAGGCCCATAGAATCACCAAGAGTTGGACATGATTGAATGGATAGCATCATCATCATCCTTTTTTTGTAAATCATATTCTGTATTTTGAAATGAAGAAGCTTGCTACTCCATTGGAGATAATGCCAGTCTAATAGACCATGGACTAGAGATAGTCCTTGTTTGGTGACTACAAATTGGGATCAGTAGCTGTCATTAAATGAAGCAATCACTATGT